TAATGATGAAGGTCATGCCCTTACCCTTAGGAAACCAGAGAGAAGATCGTTCAGGGCGTATGCTGCTGTTTTGTACATTGATCCACGCATGAGGATTTTTATCCAGGGACATAAAGTCAGGACTAAGAGACTGTCCTGCTGTCTTTATAAACCAAGGTGATATAATAAAGCATGTTTACTGTGTGTGTAACTTCTGTATTCCATTAACAACATTTTAATTGGCCTTCTTGTTTTGTTAATAGGGTTTACAAATACTCATCTACTCGTTTCAAAACTCGTGCTGAGCAAGAGGTCAAGAAAGCAGATCACCTCGCTAAGATTGGTGAGTTGGTGGTGTTTTTATACATGGTTTGCCTTAGTTTTAGTTGACTTAACACTAGTTTGACATGTATTTCAGCGGAGGAGAAAGCCAGAGAGGCTGACAGTAAGCGCATGGCTTTGGAGGCCAGATTAGGAGAGGACCTGTCAAAAGATTCACGGGTAAGCCAAAGAGGAGCATATGCTGGTTCATTTTTCAAATGCAAATGTGTTTGCCCCCATGTAAAGAAGGTTTTTAACTGAAGCTGGCACAAAATACATCTACTAAAATTGTAATTTGAAACCCCTCAACTAATGTATTAAATACTGATTTCTCCCTCCTCCCACTCTTCTTCTAGGCAGTTCTGAGAAAGGTTCAGGACGCAGCCATGATGCTCCGACGGGATTCTGACATGAAGAAAAGGATTCTCGAAGCCAAACAAAAGTATGATAAAATTGTAAAACCTGGTTTCTCTCATACATAGATTTACAAACTGTTCAAATGAAGTTTTGTTATACCTCTTACTGATCAGCATAATAGGTTGTAGATTTTTGTGAAATTTGGCAAATACAACAAAACACAACAATATGTTCTGTTTGCATATAAAGAGAACAGTTCGAGTACAGTAAAGCAAGTAAAGACCACCTAACAGAACACTTGACTTTTGCTGGGCTTTGTCTGTATCCTTCTCTTTTCTTATTCTTCAGAGCATTAAAGGAGCCCAAGGAGCTGAATTTTATATTTGGAGTGAACATTGAACAGAGGGACCTAGATGGGATGTTTGTGTACAACTGCTCTCGTCTCATCAAAATGTATGAGAAGACAGGGCCCCAGCTGGAGGGAGGCATGTGAGTAACCTACACCCCAGTGAAAGGTGACTGTGAATGAGTAAATCATTAATGACGTATGGCTGTGTGGTTTGTACATTGTAGGGCTTGTGGAGGTGTGGTTGGAGTAGTGGATGTCCCATATTTGGTTCTTGAGCCAACTCATAACAAACAAGACTTTGCAGATGCTAAGGAGTATCGACATTTACTGAAATCCATGGGGGAACATTTAGCTCAGTACTGGAAGGACACTAACATTGGTAAGTTTTCCTTAAGGATCAGATTTTCCTTCATGAGCAACACCTGACCTGCACAGTTCAGATAGAAAAATCAAGTCTTCCATCCAGGTTAGGATTGGAAGACTGTTCTCAGTCAATAGACTTGCATCACACTGCTGTCCTAATCAATCTCCAATCTGTACATATTTTTCTATTGTCCTTCTTCGAGGGTATTAATGGTGTTGTACACAAAGTGATGCAACTAGCCCTGCCTAACTTTCACACCTCCACACACTTGGCCAGTTGCTGCAGGAAGTGGGCATGATTGTTGGACTGTCTATTTTGGGACATTAGAAAAATTGAACACAATTTCAAACGATGCCCTGAGCACTTCTTTTGAAGCCTGCTTTAATGGATTAAGGTGGCATCAGCAAGTCAGACATCAAGAAATGCAGAGATATGGGTAAAGTAATGTTTGAGCTAGAGCAGAAGTGCAAGTAAATGGTTTGTTGCAGCTGCAGTAAGGAGGAGGTAGGAAAGTGTTCATTTCAAAATGCCCACTTTAAACATTTTCCTGGATATACAGTAATATTGAGTATACAACTTAGTTGAGTAATTCTATATTTTTGAACTACAATCTTTTGTTTTAACCTTACCCGCCCTACGCTATGTGTGTTAATGTACCGTCTGCCAAAAGCCAAGGATTTTATAAATGACTTTGGGGAACTCCTAGGTGGTCTGATTCCACAATTTGACAGTTTCCTAATCTGTGGAGATTTTAATATTCATGTTGACTGGGCTTCGGATCACATGGCGAAGGAGTTCAGCTACTTGCTTGAATCCTTTGATCTCATACAGTCTGTTGTGGGCCCCACTCATTCACGTGGGGGCACCCTGGACCTTGTTATTTCGCGGGGCCTGTCGGTTTGCATCAAGGATGTATCAAACATGGACGTCACGGATCATTTTCTTATCCACTTTGAGGTGCTGGTGGCGACAAGTGCCTCTAGATCACTGGCTCCCTGCCAGCGACGTAGGATTATTACTCCAGCTACAGCGTTGGATTTTGCGATGGCTTTCTCTGCTGCTGAGCTGTGCTCCTCAGGGGCTGCGAACATCCCTGCATGTCCTGACGGTCTCCTCGGCTTATTTGACTCTATTTGTTTTACGATTATGGAGTCCATCGCTCCCTTGGTGAAAAGGAGGGCTAGGAACTCTGTTGACCCATGGCTGAATGACACCACCCGTGCCTTGCGAAGACGATGCTGGCAGGCGGAATGAAAGTGGAAGAAAGATGGACTACATGTCTCCCTTATGATGTTAAGGGACAGCTTTCTTTCTTATCAGAAAGCTGTAAAGGACTCTAAATCACAATATTTATCTAATATCATTCAGAATAAGAGTCATCTTCCAAAGGTTCTGTTCAGTACCATCAATGTGGTTATCAACCCTCAGGCTACATTGGCCACTGAGGGCTTGGTTGCGAATTGTAATTTGTTTCAGAGATATTGTATTGATAAAGTTTTGAATATTAGGTGAAACATTTCCATTTCCCTCCCTCATGTATCACCTGTATCTCAGGCATGTCAGTTATTTGATTCATTTACTCTGATCTCCCTGCATCAACTTAAAAAAATTGGTCACGCATCTCAAACCCACCTCTTCTCCTCGGGACGTAGTCCCAGCCAGGATTATTGAGGCGTTCGATACGGTAGGACCTACCTTGGTCAATCTCATTAATGGCTCTCTTAGCTCAGGGTTGGTCCCCACCGCTCTTAAGCATGCAGTAGTGAGGCCTCTTCAGAAGAAAGCAAATCTCAATCCAACTGATCCGGCTAATTTTCGCCCAATATCTTTACTGCCTTTCTTAGCTAAAATAATGAAAAAAGTGGTTCTCACGCAGCTGCAGTCTCACCTCGAGGCTCTGGACATTGCTGACAAATTTCAGTCAGGTTTTAAGGCTCGACATAGTACAGAGTCGGCGTTGCTGAGGATCCATAATGATATCGCCATGGCTCTTGATGCCAAGCGCCCTATTATTTTAGTTTTACTTGATCTGTCGGCGGCTTTTGATACTGTTGATCATGCAGTTTTATTATTGACTCTGGAACACCTTGTCGGGCTGAGGGGCACGGTTTTAAAGTGGTTTGGCTCTTAAGAGATAGAACCTTTTCTGTCACTATTGATGAGTCTTCTTCTGATACAGTCCATCTTACTTCTGGCATTCCACAGGGATCAACCTTGGCACCACTACTTTTTTCCTTGTATATCTCACCATTGGTGTCAATTATATCCAGGCATAATGTTCATTTTCATTTCTACGGGGATGACATTCACATCTATATGCCACTGGTATTATCTGACCCAAAAGCGTTTACTCCATTGTATGACTGTATTCGGGATATTAAGAATTGGCTTGCTCAGAATTTTAATAAGATGGAATTTATTCTTATCAGCCCCGACCAAGCCACAGGTGTATCCAGCTTATGTGCCGCTGCTCCTGCCCCTGCACTTACAGACAGGGTAAAAAACCTGGGAGTGATATTTGATACGGGTTTTAAGTTTGATAAGCAGATCAGATCCGTTGTTAAGACCTGTTTCTTTTATCTCAGACTCTTAACTAAGGTTAAGCCTTTTTTTTTTTATCTTGGGGAAACTTAGAAAAGGCGATTCATGCTTTTATCACTTCGCGTTTAAATTACTGCAATGCCTTGTACGTTGGTATACCTCAGTCGCTGCTTAGAAAACTCCAGCTGGTCCAAAATGCAGTAGCTCGGCTTCTGTCCAACACTCCCAGGCTTGCCCACATTACTCCGGTTCTCCGCACTTTACACTGGCTGCCTGACATTTTAGGATCGTGTTTAAGACTCTTACTTGTGTTTAAAGCCTTACATGGCCTTGCCCCACCTTACTTGGCAGATCTTTTATTTGTTTATGTCCCGTGCAGAGCCTTGCGCTCCTCGGAAAAATTATACCTAGTGGTCCCAATCCAAAAATTGGGGGGACCGCGCATTTGCCGTTTATGGCCCTCGACTGTGGAACTCACTACCGCTAGAGATTCGATCTACGACCGAGCTAACGGTTTTTAAATCCAGATTAAAAATGTATCTTTTTAAACAAGCTTTAATTTGTTTTATTTGCCGTTGAACGGCATTGTGCACATGTTTTATATTTTATGATTATTGGGTTATGGTTTAGTAGTGCTCTGTTGGTTTTAGTATTGTTTTTAGTGTATAGTTATCCTTATTTTGTGCAGCACTTTGGGCTCCCCGAGAGTGAAGTTCTGGGATGAGTTTGGATATCTGTCTGCCAGCTGGTCTGCACCGCCATCCTCAGAACCACGATATAAGAGACGTCGGGCCATGGAGATACCAATCACTATTCAGTGTGGTTAGTTATATATCCATACGCGCACAAACAGAGATGTACTGTAGCTCAGTATACTGACAATTTGCCCCAATCTATTTTCAGATAAGTGTTTAAAGTGGAGAACGCTGCCATTCCAGATGGATGCTGTGGACAAACGCTACCCAGACAGTTGGGTTTGTCTCATGAATCCTGACAGCACTCAGGACAGGTACACACATGTTTTATAGGATGTCTTTAAAGTTTGCTATTCATGCTGTATTATTAGTTTAAATATTCATGTGAGGTATTTATTCTGGGACAGCTGTGTCACTACATTGCTGTTGTGTAATGTAGCATTTTATATGCAATTTGTGTTTTTAGGTGTGATGCACCTGAACAGAAGCAAAATTTGCCATGTGGGGTTCTGAAGAAAGACAAGCTGACAGCTGAAGACAAACAGAAAGAACTGGCAGAGAAAATTAAACAGCAGCAAGAGAAACTAGAGGCTTTGCAGGTATTTCATCCATCTCTCACATTCTCTCTCTGTTTTGTTCTGTTATATCAGGACATAACTATTGTATTTTCCATCACAGAAAACCAACACCATCAAATCTGCAGCAGATGTAAAGAAGCTACCACTGGAGGTCAGCATGAAGCCAACAGAGAGCTCTTCTCAGGTACAAACTCTACCTACATTACATTGAAAAGTTCAGTAACCTGCTTAAAACCACTTGATTGTGCTGCATAGCGAGTGTACTTGTTGGCCAATGTCTGGTTCATTCTTAAAGATTTCTCATAATCTGCCTGCAATGTTTCTTTTCTCTCCTTTTCCTGTGTTATTGGTGTAGGCAACTAGATCTTCTGAGAGGTTCACAACACGGCCCCGCTCTCCGCCACTCCCAGCTCACCTCAAAAATGCCCCGAGTGCCCCTTCAACTCGTGCTAGTTCTCAGCGCCCCACTCGGACACCCCCTGCTCCCCCACCACCATCCAAAGTTGAATCATCCAGAACTAAAACTGTGGCAAAGGCTCCTCCACCTGCAAAGCCAGTCCCCAAGGCTACGCCAAAAACACCCCCACCAAGCCGCAGCTCACGGGTAAGTTACAAGTTTTAGGAAGTATTATACTAATACCATAAAGTAGCATTGTAAGATTATGTTGGTGAAATCATTCAATATATCTGCCTTTACAGCAGTGAAAAAGTGATGTGTCTCTTTCCATAGACATCTGCCAAAGCAGCACCTCCCAAACCAGCAGCTACTGGACAACGCAAGAGGATAATAGAGCTGGAGGACAGTGACGAGGAGGAAGAAGAGGAGGAAGAGGAGGACAGTGAGGAAGAGAGTGAAGAAAAAGAACCACAGACAAAGAAATCCACAATGGCCACAGCAGCTGTTAACCATGGGAAAGTGGTAGAGAAGGCTCCACCTCCCAAACGGGGCAGGTTGGACGAGGTAAACACAACATAGTTCAAATACAGTATGAGAGTAGGATCTTCTTGCCATCAGATTGGAAACACTGTAGTTCTAATTTCTAATCCTACTGAAAGTATATTGGTAGCTAAAGTTCCGCAGGTCAACAGAAGACAAACTAGGTGTATAAAATACGAGCATTAACAACTCTGCATAAACCATTCGGGTGTTCACCTGTGTGTTTAAAACTGGGTGTGAGGGGCATTGTACAACATGCTGCCAGGACTGTGCTATACGCTGCTGTCCCCTTTTTTTCTGCTGCTTTTTGCTTTTCCTCCCTCAGCACCACTTGTGTGATAAGAGAGATTAATGTTCCAGGAATAAATAAATGCAGGTAAGTATATAACAAAAGTAAACAGGCAGGTGTTTGGTTGCAGCATTGTAAGGTTCTCATCTATTACAGGTGAAGTGTCTGCCACATATGGTAAATCCACTGGCTAATCAAGCATAAAGTTTACTCTAATTCCACATCTGAACAATAACTAAATGCAGTAATAAAGGACATGCTACTCCATGTCTTCATAAATAGGCTTTAACTACCCATTGACTTTAGAATGTATGTACAGTATATCTAAAGTTTAGACTTGATTTCTCTAGCTTTTTATTCATCTACCATGATGCTGATCAATGCAGAGATTCAGCTATATTAATCCTTAGAGCAGGGCTCTCAAACATGTCTTTTTTTTTTTTTTTTTTTGCCTAAGGTGCAGAGAATATACAGTGTATATAGCCTATAATGCAAACATGATACAACTAAAACATTCACACAACAGAACTTTGTGTAGTGAACCTGCTCAAAGTGCAATCCAATCAAATACACATATGTCCCACCCACCTTTGACACCAGTTGAGTCACTCTGTCAGGTTTGTTTGCATCACTTAAGCCATAATGTTACCAACTCTTTTGGACGGTGTTGCATTAAAAGTCTTCACTTAAATGAAACAAACATTTACTGTACAAAAAACAGGAGGTACATTGCCATGTATTCAGTTGGTTGTGCTGTGTTGTAGCCTAATATAAAACACGAGTAACTCTTGGCCGCATTCATTTTGTCAAAGTAGGTCAAGTAAAATACTGTAGGTTGGAGACCCCTGCCTTACAGAATATTAGCACAGTGGCCAAGTGTCTTGTCATCTGGTAATTAGTGGCATTAAAAGATATTTTGTGATTAGATATTCATGTGTTTCCTTGGGCAAATCTTGTCAGAAGACTTCTTAATTTGCTTCCTACGATATTTGAATGTTGACAAAAACAATTTCAGGGTCTTATACTGAAGAAAAGAAGGAAGTACAGCTTTACAGTTTAGTTACTGAACCTCTGTTCAGAGCCCATATGCTGTTGACCTTGCAGGTTAACACACACTCTCAGCCTGGGAAGAAAGGGGTTTCTGCTCCCACGCGGCACACACAAAGTACAGCACCCTCTGACCCTAAATCCATTTCCATGCAACTGCAAGGGGCTAAAGCCAAGGTAGCTTTATTCGGTCCCTCTCTCTCCTACCCTCAAAGCATCTGCTTTTACAGCTTTTAACAACAGTACAACTTGATCTTTCATCTGATCTGGGTTTTACATCAATTATCATTTTCTCTTCTAACAATTCTCTTTAATCAAAGATGTCATTCTTCTTTAATGACACTGCAATCAAGCATGTCCTCACCCAGTGACTGAGGCCACACTGGAACTTTCACTTCTTTCATTAACAGGGATGCAAATCATTTCTTTTAACCTCGCTCTGGCTTTTTAGTAAATATGTTTTTCTGATTGCATTGGTGGTAATGCTTGTTTTGTTTACAGCCACCTGAGAAGCCTGCACAGCAGGAACCAGAGAATGACACTAAAAATGCTCAGAAGGGTGAGATAATAGACTGCTCTACACTAACATGTCTCACACAAAACTGGACAAATAAAGCCCCTTGGATGAATTTCTACTTATGTTTTTTTTTTTTTTTTTTCCACAGATAAGGGTCTGCAGGTTGAAGTACGTGTCAATAAGGAGTGGTACACAGGCAAAGTTATTGCTGTGGAGTTAAATAAGCAGAGCGTTCGCTGGAAAGTTAAATTTGACTACGTACCTACATCCACCCCCAAAGACCGATGGTAAGATACTGTCTTTGCTGCTGCATTTTGGGCACATATTGTTCACATGCCAGATAATTAATATCCTATACATGTATGTGTGTATCTGTAAAGGGTGTTTAAGGGTAGCGATGAAGTGCGGTTGATGCGGCCGCCATCTCCAATCTCTCAGATACCCGACACCCAGCAGGAGACTGAGAAGGGGCCGGCACCCATGGAGCCGGACACTACTCAACCAGGAACCAGTCGAGAAGTGACTGATAGCCTGGTCACCATGTTGAGGCAAGCTGCTAATAATGTTTGAGATTTTTCAAGTTGGACTGAAAACGATATTGATGTCCTCATATGTATGTGAGAATAGGTTTTAATTGCTGAAACGTTCAACCTGCAACACAGCTACACTGGGAGAAATGGGGGGCCAAAATACACAGCCCTTGTTCTGTGCAGAAATGCACTCCAGTTTGTCTGAGGCTCAAATGAAGCCTCATCCATCCCATTAAGATAATTTCTGTTGGAATCTTTCAGAATTACAGTCTGTTCAAGACCATTTTTTTCTTGGAATTAAGTGTTTTGTCACTGAAAAAAATTACCTGCATAGATCACTTTAGATGCCAGGATCACTTTATGAAATGATCCAAACATAAATGCATAATCGAAATCACAGCCTCTCTTGGTTATCAGAATATGACCCTGGGAGATATTTTGACATGCACTTATATTTGTTCCTATAAAGCTGAGTAAGAGAATGACACTGCTACGTTCATCTTTCAGAACAATGCTGCGTTACTTCTTCCCTCCTGCTTTTCGAATTCCCAAGGATGATGTTAACAGCATGACTGCTGAGGAGTTGGTGGCCTTTCCTCTGGTGAGATACAGTCGCTTCACAAAGTATACAGACGCCTTCACTTTTTGCACACTTCATTGTGTTGATATAGTTTTAAATGGATAAAATTGCCATTTTTACCCTTCAATTTACAATCAGCCTTTAATGGCTAAGAGAAATTTCTTAAAATTCAAAAACTGAAATCTACTTTAATAGTATTACAGTTGCAGGCGGGTGCATCCTATTTGTTTTAAGTACAGTGCCTTGCGAAAGTATTCGGCCCCCTTGAACTTTGCGACCTTTTGCCACATTTCAGGCTTCAAACATAAAGATATAAAACTGTAATTTTTTGTGAAGAATCAACAACAAGTGGGACACAATCATGAAGTGGAAGAAGAAAGCCATTTCTTAAAGATATCCATAAAAAGTGTCGTTTAAAGTTTGCCACAAGCCACCTGGGAGACGCACCAAACATGTGGAAGAAGGTGCTCTGGTCAGATGAAACCAAAATCGAACTTTTTGGCAACAATGCAAAATGTTATGTTTGGCGTAAAAGCAACACAGCTCATCACCCTGAACACACCATCCCCACTGTCAAACATGGTGGTGGCAGCATCCTGGTTTGGGCCTGCTTTTCTTCAGCAGGGACAGGGAAGATGGTTAAAATTGATGGGAAGATGGATGGAGCCAAATACAGGACCATTCTGGAAGGAAACCTGATGGTGTCTGCAAAAGACCTGAGACTGGGACGGAGATTTGTCTTCCAACAAGACAATGATCCAAAACATAAAGCAAAATCTACATTGGAATGGTTCACAAATAAACATATCCAGGTGTTAGAATGGCCAAGTCAAAGTCCAGACCTGAATCCAATCGAGAATCTGTGGGAAGAACTGAAAACTGCTGTTCACAAACGCTCTCTATCCAACCTCACTGAGCTCGAGCTGTTTTGCAAGGCGGAATGGGCAAAAATTTCAGTCTCTTGATGTGCAAAACTGATAGAGACATACCCCAAGTGACTTACAGCTGTAATCGCAGCAAAAGGTGGCGCTACAAAGTATTAACTTAAGGGGGCTGAATAATTTTGCACGGCCAATTTTTCAGTTTTTTATTTGTTAAAAACGTTTGAAATATCCAATAAATTTCGTTCCACTTCATGATTGTGTCCCACTTGTTGTTGATTCTTCACAAAAAATTACAGTTTTATATCTTTATGTTTGAAGCCTGAAATGTGGCAAAAGGTCGCAAAGTTCAAGGGGGCCGAATACTTTCGCAAGGCACTGTACGTGTTTGACTCACCTTGATTGGTGTCCGCTTGGAGCAAATTGAACACATGGTTGAGAAAGACACATGCCTGTGTATATAAGGTGCCACAGTTCACACTGAATGTCAGGATGAAAACCAAGCCCATGAAATCCCAGAGACTCTTTTTAGACATTGGTGATAAAATTGTGGCTAGGCCTAGATCAGGGTCCAGGAGCACAATGAGGCTCAATAACTGAAATGGAAGATGCTTAGAACCACCAAGACTCTACTTAGTTTGGCTGGATGGCCAAATCTACAATCAGACAAAAGGGGCCATGGTCAGGGAGGTGACCAAGAACCCAGCAGTCCATCTAAAAGAGTCTCATAAGCCATCCGCAGAGATGGGAGAGCCTGCCAGAAGGATGAGCATCTCAGCAGAATTCATCAGTCAGATCTTTTTGCCTAGAGAGAAGCCTCTTTGGGTAGAGACATGACAGTCCGCTTGGAGGTTATCTCACAGCTTTTAAAGGACTGCACAGTGAAATAATACTCAGGTAATGAGCAGATCTAGGAATGTGTTTATATATTCTTAATATCGTGTATTAATGTTTTTTTTTTTTCCTCCTTGATTTAGAAAGAGTATTTCCAGCAGTATGAATCAGGACTGCAGTCGTTGTGCAACTCTTACCAAAGCAGAGCTGATGCCCGGGCCAAAGCTGTGGAAGAGAAGAACAGCAGCACTGAGGTCAAACTGAAGGAGGCAGATGAGAAATTACAGAAACTAAGAACAAACATAGTAGCACTTCTGCAAAAAGTGCAAGAGGTAAGATTGCTGTACCATACATTGTTGATGGGCCATGTAACAGAACAGCTCCACAGATTAAGAAAATGTACTGCACCATCTTAAAGTAATTTTTTTTTTAACACCTTTAGGACATTGACATAAACACAGATGACGAGCTTGACGCCTACATAGAGGACCTCCTTACCAAAGGTGATTAATAAGAAGACAGAAAAGAGAGAGAGAGAGAGAGAAGAGAACATGCATATAAACAGTTTTTATACAGGCCATGGCTTGCTGTTGGTTCCCCAAGGACACATGCAGAGTTGGCTGTGAATATTTGGGGATATTGTTGATCCTTCCACTTGTTAAATCAGACTGTGATACGTTTAGTCTTGATCATTTCAGCATTTAGTAAATAACTGTGCACTCTGACTCTGGGCAGGTTCTCTGGTATTCCTACATTGTTGGATAGCCCTCTGGTCTGTGGTTTTCTTTTAGCCTTTTTTATATACCTGCTTATATATGTTAATCTGTGTTTAAGCCATCCTATCCTCATTGATTATTTGTGTAGGTTTAATGCAGTTTAGGCTCCCTTTATATAGCCATCTATTGCTGTAGATGACATTTGTCATTATGGTCCATTGTCGGGTAAGAACTGGAAGTGACTCAAGACTGGGGCTTGGCTAGGCTTGTGCTCAGCACTCCTGCCTTTACTTAAACATAACTTTTTATTTATGTATACTAAAAACACAACAGTGTTGCCCCTAACCTTCTCCTATCCTGGTCTGCCTAACAAGCAAACCTGGTGAATCTTTTACAGTTGGGTGATATGTCACACCCACAAACAAGAACTGCTTACTGGGTTTTATCAGTATAAATATTTCATCCCTCCTACGTTTAAGCTATGACTGTTCTGTTTTATTTTCGGATATAAAAAAAAAATCTCAAAAGAAAATGTGTTCATAAAATATATACAGTGCCTCTGTCTATCATTTTGAACAGGTTTTACCATGTCATGGAAATGTTTTATTCAAAACACTGCATGCTTTCAGTCTTTTTGTTCTGATTGGAACAAATTATTCTGTATTTTTGACACATCCATACTTACAATAAACAAGTTCACCAATGCTTGTATTCATGTTATTTTGATGTCTATATGCTAAATAAAAAGTTGGAAAATTAAAATTTTTGTTAAAGCCATTAAGTACTGATATCAAAATTATTTTCCCATTTTTCTTTTGAGATTTCTGTCACCATCTCAAAAAGGTGAACAGAATTGTATTCGTTTTATTGAATCAGGTGCTGAATTTTAAAACAAAACTATCAGTGCTGTGAGCACATAACTGAAATTTCATTCAGTTTTGGAGTCAAGGCAGAAATTACACATCTAAAAGCAGAAGTATCTGCATAAAACTTTGGAAAGTGAAACATGGCTGATAAATCAACATTGTGTCTTTAGTACGGTGTTGGACCACCATATGCCACCAGAAGAGCTTCCATGCACCTTGGCTGGAGGGATGAGCACCAGTCTTCCAAAAGATATTCACTTGTGTTTTGATGATGGTGATGGTGGAGATGCTGTCTTAACACGTCGCTCAAAAAATCTGCCATAGATGTTCAACTGGGTTGAGACCTGGTGACTGTGAAGGCCAGAGAGTATGATTGACATCGTTTTCATACTCGGCAAATCATTGACACCCCCATGTCCTATGGATGAGGACACTGTTATCCTGGAAGAGTTAGGTTGGTTTGCAAACCAATAAACACCAGAAGAAGAAGAAGGTTTGCAGTGACCCTTCCTTCTAAGGCGACAAGTGGACCCAAACCATGCAGCAAAAAATCCTCCCCAGAGCGTAACAGAGCCACCGGATCCCCTCGCTATAGGCCACGCATTCAGGATATTCCTTTAACTTGTTACGCGTCTGATTGGTTTTCTCAATATAATATGGGTGAA